GTACTTTATTTTTGAATAAGATGCTTCACTTGGCCTCGTTTTGGCTACAATAGTTTAATAATTTGTTATTACCATTACTCATTATCAATAATGAAATAATAGTCAGTCAGAGGGCTTATTAATATGTAATAAAATGTATCCTAAGCCTGAAGGTGGCGCTTTACTACGACGGCCATCTTGGATGGTACACATACATAACTCTGCATTGCTGCGCCATCTTGTCAGCACTCTAGTTGTTTAATAGCTTTATGATTGGAACTTGCTCTTTTACAATATCGATGGCGTTCAACATTATCATACTATTTACTTCGCCTTATGAAAACCGTATAGGCCCTATAATGTAATATAATGAGGCAATATGCGTCCATAAAATTAAATACAAGATTAAAACGTGCATAATTTATTTTTAATACGACTAATATCAATGGGTAATACACATGTTTTACGTTAAATTGTATTATAAAATAATAATGATATTAAAAATAATTGGCGATGAATGGCTATAAGTAAACTTCGGCCCTACGTAAATAAATCATATTAGAGGAAGGGAGTAATCAATATAATATTAATTTTTTAATTACACAATTCAATTAGTGGGCTTACATAAATTATTAAAAGATGGGTGGTCAAAAATATAATTATTCTTGAGAAATGAAAATTATATCAATAATTAAATAATAGGCCTATGGATTTACTAATGAATTTGGATGATATATAACCAGGATAAATAAATACATAAGAAATTGCGTCCATAAAATGAAATACAGTATAAAAACGTACATAATTTTTAATACGACTAATATGGGTAAGGTGAGTCGAATGGCCGAGCGGTTAGCAGGGGCGCCGCAAGCTATAGCCATAATATCGGCGCTGGTTCGAACGGCACTGGTTCTGGTGGTAGAACAAGTCTTCTCGGATAAGGACTATAAACCGTAGGCCTAGTGTATACAATGGCTCGTGTGCACTATAAAAAACCCAGTACATCCTTCGAGACGAGTAGGGGGATACCCCGGTGTATTGGAACAGACAGCCCCTGTGGTGGACGACGAGAGTTGCTGGTACCGGGTTACCGGGTAGCACAGACATGAAGGGACCCTTAGGGGCGAAGAAAGTCATTGATTGAGTTGTTAGTCCACACATCACCAGCGCATTGAGACTTTGGTATAATGCGCTATACCAAATCCCACTACATTACATTACATTATAATACACATGCTTTTCGTTAAATTGTAAATAAAATATTAATAATATTTAAAATATTTGGCGATCAATGGCTATGAATAAACTGAGACCCTAAATAATCTTTTTTAGAGAGATTTAAACTTATTCTTATTCAATTTATGATCAAATAATTATTAATATAATACTATTTTTTTAATTCAACAATTAATGGGCTTACATAAATTATTCAAAAACGGCTGGTCAAAAATAAAATTCTTCTTGAGAAATGAAAATGATATCAATATTGTAGTAAAAGTAATAGGCCTAGAATTTAATATTGAATTTGGATGATATATTAACCAGTATAAATAAATACATAAGAACTTCATACAATTTTAGTAAAAGTATTATAGTCATAAGAATATGGTAATATAATTGTGCCTAATTTCAAACTTAAAAAACATTCATGTGTTAGCTAATAAGTTTGAAAATATTATTCTGTATATTAATTACTTACATTGTATATTTTATTAGGTTAAAAGTTTGAATAAAAAGGCATCGGTAATTTACAGACGTACAAAATAATACGTTCTAATATTCTTTGCCTAAGCTAGTACTAAATAGGCCATGCGGCCGGGCATGCGGCATTCTGTCTAGGGACTTTCGTACTAAATGATTTATCAACTGTTCCTTCTTATATATTAACTGTTGTATTTATTTTGCTCGTGCTCTTCTTTGTAGTTAAGGCCTATACATCGTTAAAATTATGTGTACCACACTTTGGAAAAACACAGACACCAATTCTAAAACAATTTTACACGCACCGTTGTCAAGTATTCTCATGTATTTATAAAATGTTAATACAGAGTTCACGCACGAACAATTTACAAGGCATAAGGCCTACTATGCTGTACTGACAAAACATAGGCATGCTAATATCATTTTTTAAACATACCAAACATAAATCATGGCTCAAAAATTATGCATTTATGTTTAGACATTTTAACCCTACTCCCTTTTCCAAATCACTTCTAAAGAATATTATTGTGATTTGTTATTCTTATTTTAACTCTTAATAATTATGAAAAAATGACCAAAAATTTATGGTAAATAAAATTAATTCAAATGAATGCGTGTATTATAAAACACATTTTTAACTGTTTCTGATATAATAATTCCTAAATGATATTGGAAAATCATCGTACGATTTAAATTATGAAACTTGTAAAAAAAAATATTGGTAGTTGTATGAACTGTATCGTAATTCAGTGTAATGTTTGTTTTTGTAGGGTGACTGGACGCCATTAATGCACGCTTTGCATCGGGGAGCACCAGATGGTGTGTTGGAGAATATGATTAAAACGGCAACAGTTGAGTGTTTAGAAAAACAGTCGGTGAGTAGAATTAAATATCATTGCATTTTAAACATGACAAGCACACAACATGTGTACACATCATACGACATACAAATAACTCAAAGTCAATTACTGTGATTTTTTTCATGTTGGGTTAAAAATGGGATTTTTATTTCATGATTTATTTGACATTTTTTACAACACAGAAAAAGCCTATGCTCTGGCCATTATCACTAATCCATATGAAATATTGTGAAAAAAATACATTTTAAACTTACAAAAATAGTCATGTTTGGATTTGTTCAGTTTTGTTTAATACAGTTTACTGAATAAATTGGTGACAATCAAATTGATATTTTTCACAAAAAGTATTGTCGCTAAAAATCCCGATTTGGAAATATTTTACTATTGTGTGTAAAACATAGGCCAGATGATACAAATATTTTTTTGCGCGATTTTGCCTAAAAAACCACATTTTAAAAATATTAAATAATGTAATTAGTATTTAATAATGATGAATGTAATAAGTAATGTGTGTGTGATGTTTGTGAGTTGTTATGTGTTGTTGATATGTGGTGTGTGTATAGTTTCTTGTTGTTGTTTATTATTTCTTTCTCATCATATTCTACGTTTGTCTTGTAGCATTATTCTGGTTTCACTATTCTCCATTTCTTGGCGGCCTACGCACGCGTGTCAGCAATGAGACGCGTGTTGGAAAAAACCAACAAGAAGATTAACACGCAAGACAGAGTGAGTACAGTAGAAGAAAACAACACTTTATTCATTGCTAACAAATTAACATTAATTCACTCACAAACAAATTCAATACATCACGTTCTAATTTAGTAATATTCTTGGTTATAATACTGAGATGTGATTTTTTATTTACAACTGGTTGAGAAATATTTTCCGCTCAGTAGTGGAGACTACCTTGACCATTATTATTTGTTTTATTAATACAACAAAAATAAACCACAATCCATTACTACATTTTTGTCAATATTATTACCATTAATATTAATACAGTACAGGTGCTGTATTATCCTATAATTATTAATTTCATAATACTTATTACCATCATCATTAATTCAGGTACCTACTTCATTCTTGCATTGCCATATTATTGGGGTTTTTTTATTACCATTAACAATATGAATAATAATTATTATCAAAATTATTATTATTATCATCAATATTATTATTATGATTATTATAATATTACTGAAGTATCACTATTATTACCGGTAGGCGTTAATGAATTATGGTGGTTATAAATTATTTCAGGTACTTTTACGTTTGCGTAATATTTGTTAATTGATATTCTTGTGTTGTGCGTGTTCAACAAACTTGACGTTGATTATCATTTCATTGCAGATTGGACGCACACCACTACATGAATGTCTATGGAATGAGAAGCTGACGCACGAGCAACACAAGGAAGTCGCAATTCTCAATATCACCTTTGGCGCATCGGTGACAATAAAAGATAAGGTAATCTACAGAAAAATGAAATGCATCAAAAGAATATCAGTCAATGACCTTAATACAACAACTTTATATGAAACTACTTGAAACATTTTTACTAATTAAAACCAACGTAATAAATATAAATTCAAAAAAATTAAATCGAAAAAAAAATCATACGAGTAATAATGTTGATTTATAAAAAGTTTTAGAAGTATGAGTTTAATAATGTTTATTATAAATTAATTGGATGGTAATTTAGAACATAATTATAATGTCGTGATGATAACATTGTCGAGTGTTCGTTAGATATATTATTTTTATTATTATCTTTGAGTATTTAACCAAACTATATCACTGTTTTCTGTTTATTTGGTTTTCAATTGTCTTGCAATGGAATGAATCATCGCGTGCTCGTGTCTGTTATTGCAGGATGGAAAGACGCCTCTTGATTTGTATGATAGAAACAAATGTTATGGATACGAAGAAACCACGAGAAGTGAAAAGAAACTAGATTTAAAAGAATTACTTGAAAGTACGTTGATTGACTTATTAAATATCTGTGGAATCAAATCTTCAAACTCTATTTAAAACAGTACTTATCATACACCCGTACTACGTTTGACATTTATTTTTTTTTTAAATTTGAAATTCTACACAATTAATTTATTATTTTCACATTTTGATTATCGTAAAAAGATTTATTTCATCGTAAACAATCAAAAATATAATTAAAAAAGAAAATACTAAATATTGTTGTTATGTTTGTATATAAATTAGAACTATCAACTCCATCAGAGATTTTAGCCAGGGGTCCCGATGCCGTAAAAGCATTCAAAGATGCACTTCAAAATTAAAAACGGTGAAATAACAGTTGTTAATTCAAGACTGATGTTTCTTGGTCAAGAGGGTTCCGGGAAAACCTCTTGTGTTAAAGCCATGCTGGGAAAAGTGTAAGTACAACAAAATGCCTTGTATTATTTCTATAAAATTGTATTTTTATATTATACGGATCATTATTTTCCTTGCCTTCCTTTTTAGTCGGTTTCAATATTTTTACGTGCAGTACAGTCCGTGCGTTTTCTACTGCAATTTAACTTTCAATATTCTTTGCTTTCTGTCGTGCACGCGCTTGTTTGCTGCGCGTCCGTTTACTTGTAACTTTCTGAAAGTAAGCTTGTTGCTATGTAACGAGTCGATTGTAAGCATGGAACATAGAGCTATTAAATATTATACCTCTATGGCATGGAATGAGAAAATGGAAATACTGTACTGTATTGGATTTCAAGTTGAACAGTAAATAGGCCTACGAGTTATTTTTGTTTCGGGAAAAGTATGTATAACTTGTTAATTATTTATTTTTTGTAATAATTATTATTATTATCAGTGTATTTATTATCTAATTATTATTGATATTATATCATCATTGTAATCACTATATATTATAGTGATTATAATAATATAATGGTTATGATTATATTTTTATT